ACACAGTTAATCCACAATATAAAAAGACATTTGAGTTTTAAAACATCAACATTGATAAAAGTTAAACGTTACATTTAACTTTTTTGATGTTTTGGCACGCACGTCAATCACGTCCGTCCTATATGAGATAACAATGTTTACCCGTGGTAGTTTGAAAAGCAAAAAAGTTTAGTTCAATGCTAAACATGGTCAAAGGGACAAACATTCGTTTCATATGGGCTCCACAACGTGTCACTGAAAAACATGGGTTTTAGTCAATGTTATGTGAGTGATGCCAACAACTATTCAAAAGTTTAAAGGCTAAAACTTTTACTGTAGAGCACCCATTTTCTAATTTTTTCAATCTCACAAATATGTCCTAAGATTATGTCTCAAATGTTGTGGTCGGATATCTATTATACACTATTACATAGATCTCGTGAAATTATAATGTAAAATTTATTAATATTAAATGAGTATATATATACAATATTATACATGATCTTTGAATAAAAATAATTAATCATATAATAACATGTCATGATTGTAATCTTATAATACAATATGATATTGTGATTTATATAGTTTCTGTTTCAATTATAATAGTTTTAAAAAGAAAAAAGGTTTAAACGAGAGTTATATACTACTCCCTTTCTCCCTATATAATAGTTTTTTTTTAATTAAGAACTTGGAGATAATTTATGTTTTTCCTTACATTATCTGTAAAATATAAAAGAGAAAAAATAAAATTGATGATAGGATAGATCATTTAAATACTAGATAATAATAGCATTAACGTTGGGGAAAAACTATTACTATGAAAAATATGAAAAAAAATAATTAATTTATAATGAATTTTTGAGTAAAAAAATGACCATTATTGTGGAACGGAAATGACAACTATAGTTAGTGCACTTATATTCTAATCGTGTGGCACTGTGGCTTCATAACCTGTGGGTGATATTGAAGACCATTCAAAAGTTTAGTGGCTAAAGTTTTACTTTTAGATATTCAAACGTATGCTATATATAACTTACCGTATGATTGAAAAATAAATGTCTCAGCTATTTTTCCAGCATATCTAGAGCACTTACTCATGTAGATACAATGAACTAATTTTGTGGGCTTCATAACTCTCTCCAAAAGAATGTCCTAGATGTTTTCTAGGTGACACGCTAAGGACTATTCAAAGATGAAATGGTTAATGCATTTTTTTGTTAGGCAGACAATCTAGCACACATTAGGTATCTCTCAAAAGTGCGTGGCGAGATATTTTAGGTACACAACTTGAGGCATTTATGAATAAATCATTTGAAGCAAGGGAGCGTTGGCCTATATATATGCATCTTCAAACCCACACAAGTTGTCCTAGAATCGAAATCGATTACTTCCCATGCCCCTTTTGTGTGAGCCATCAGCCTCAATCCCTATGTTTCTTGTAATTACCTCTATCAGTCTCTTTTTCATTGAGGTTGTAATGAAGACAAGTCCATTGTTTGTTGAATACCACTCCCTACGTTTAATTTTAGTTCTAAATTTTATATTTTAACTTTTCATATAAAAATTTTAAATAAAAAATTAACAACCTATTCAAATCACAATTGAAAATTTTCTTTTTACTATATGTAACTCTTGTTAGGTAGTTTTATCTAATAAAAATTTTTTAATTATTATTTATATAATATATATGTTAAATTTTCATTTAAAATCTGTCTAAAAAGTTAAAAAGTTAAATTATTAGTACTATTAAAAATCAAGAGGAGGTAGAACTCCCCCATGTGGCTCACTAGTTGGGTCGCGCTCCTCCACGAGGAGCAGGTGGAGATCACTCACGTTCAAGCCTCCCTGCTTACTGAACAGATATTAATTTTTAACCATTGTTCTCATTGTCAAAAATAAAAAAATAAAAAATCGAAAGGAAGTAGTAACTTTATATATATATATTAAGAAGTTAATTGCTTGATATTAAAAAAATAATTTTCTAACATTTGTCTTGGACATAGTTTAATATGCATTAATTGAATATTTTCTTATCAATTGTTATGAAAAAAAAAAAAACTTTAATTTTATTATTTACTCAATTAAAATCATACATGTGTTATTGATATTGAAGAAAATAGAGTTAATTTTTGTGTTTTTTTCATACAAATATAATAAAAAAATATAATTAATATATTTTTAACATACATTTTAAGAACATAAGTTAAATGAACCCTAAAAAATTCATACCCTTTACCTTTTAAGTGGGTAAATATTAACTCTGAATTTGTTGAATTCTAGCCTATTGATGCAAGGTAAAAGCACATTTGAAACGATTGAAAAAGATGGGGACACTAAATGTGACTACTACCTTTATCCTTCCAATAATTGACTAGATAACAAGTGGTAACACGTCTCTTTCCTTCAATTATTTTATTTTTAATGTGCTGATGGGAGTTCATCCATAAGAGTCCTATCACTTCCACTACTACTAACAAAGTCTCTCATTTCTTGTACTAAGTTTTCTTTTAAAAAACATCCACTCATTTTTAGAACTCTCACCAAAAGTTCTACTTTTGACAAAACTTCTTTGCCTCTATCTTCTTTTATTTATAGGATTAATGTTGAGTGTTAAAGATTTTAATGTTGGACCCTAAAAAAGAGCAAAGATTTTCAAGTTGAAAAAGAATAAATAGTTTAAAAATATATCATATTTTTTTATGAAAAAAAAATCATCTTAATTCAACTTATGGTATGTTGGTTTGATGATTATAGAAGAGAGAGGGAGGAAAGATTTTGCAATACAAAAATTAAGAAAATTAAACTCCTAAACAAAAAACAACAACAATAAGTTCATTAGCTTGTGCCATAGTGACCACAAGTCATTGTAAAGGCAGCGTAAACACCAAAGCCCTAAGTTTTACACCCAAACAACGACACTAAACTACTAAATTATCTCTAATTTAAGATAGATTTTTAATTAAAAAAATGGCAATTATAGCAAGATGAAAGAGTCTCAATACTGTTCCATTAGACTTGACAAAACAAAGCAAGTCCTTGAAAATCAACCACACAGACGACATTTTAATAATGCACCAAAACTACATTAAGAGTATGGGATGTGGCCTATTTAGCGGTCAAAGGCACCGACAGCCGCCCTAGCGGTGGCTTATTTAAACTACCCACATGCCGCAGTGTGGTGGTTGCCGGTCCCTCACCGCCGGGGACCACGCATTTTACCGGGTGTGGCCCTACGCTCACTGCCTTCTCGCATCGACAGCTCAGCAGCGACCCATTTCCTCTTTTCTTGGCTACATTGCCACCGTCGACTGTACTTGTTCTGTCATCAGCTTCTGAGGCTGCCACCGAGGATCGGTCGAACCCCTCTGTGGTGGTCACGCTCCAGTCTATGCTGACCTCGCTTGGTGTGTAGCATTCTGGTGGGGTGACCGGTGGCCGGTACGGACCAAGGCCGACGCTTGGCCTTCTGCTGCTGGGAGCATCGTCGAGTGGATCTCGAGGATGGGGATACGACGTGGGTTGAGTCGAGAAGCTCTCGATCTCGAAAAGATCGGAGCTAGCGTCGCTGGCGACATCGTCGTCCGCCGTGTGTGTTCGGGACTTGGGACTTGCCAATTTCCTTTGGATTTCGCTGGATTTTCTCCAAGCACGTTCCTCCGATGGCTGGAAAACTTCCAATGAATCTCGAGGTGGAGAACTATTCAACGGCAGTTTCAGCGGAGGGGGTGGAGGTGGATTTGATTGGTTCAGTATAGGAAAGGTGAATCCAGCAGTGTCGCTCAGAGGCCTCGTCGACGCCACTACACGGGACGGGAGAAGAATCTCGGCGGAGATTCTGTGAGGATTAGAAATCATTTCACGTCGATCTCCCCAGTTCGTCGTTCCCAAACATTTATCCGCAGAATTGGGAGATTGTTGTTTCTGATTCAAATTCAAGCACCCATTAACTCGATTGCTCAAAACTGAAGCTACCGATGTTCTGGGAGCCGCTAATTTGTCCTCAACCAGAACGGATTTCTTCCCAGAACAGGGGCATCTCCGTCGGAAAATCCAGCTTTTCACCGACGACCTTGATTTCTTCTTGCGTTCTGCACTCGGGTTTTGCATTGAAATCGCCATGGCACCAGGAAGATTAGACAGCAGACCTGCCTGACTATTCCAGCTAACCTCAGAAGAGGCCGTGGGTGTGGCATGGAAGGAATGAGGGCGGTAACTTCTTCCATTTCCATCGGCCGATGAAGCAGAGGAGAATCTGGAAACGGACAATCTGTCGGGAAAAGTATCAAGATTACTGACGGTAATTGTGGATACTCTCTTGCAGAGTCTTGGGTCGGCAGTGGTGTCACTAAAGTACTTCTGAGCATCAAAAATGCTTATCTCAGTCTCGTCGGCCGGATTGTCGTCTCTGACTCTGCTAGAGGGGACGGACGATTCTTTCATAACTGGATTCGGAGACAAGCCGCCATTGATTGTCTTCATTTCTCTCGTTGTTTCCATTTTTAGTGACAGTCTGCCTATGGATTTTTTTTTTTTTTTTTAAATAAGAGAGGGAGTGAAGGTTGCGGCCATCGAAGTTCTTCAATTTGAATATATTGGTGATATTCATGTAGAGTTAGGTACAAAACCAATCAATTCCATTTTCAGCAGTGAAATTACTATATAATTGTGCACCAAATAGGAAAACTAAAATTGAATTTTTTTATTTTTAAAAAGATTAACAAGGAACCGGATCAAACCCAAGCCCAAAGAAGAGGGAGTGCATTGTGAGGTGGCTAATGTCACTTGACCCGCAGAGATTGATGCAACTAAAATTAGATTTATTTTTTAAAAAATAATATAATTTACTAACATGTCATGTTATAAATATATAATCAGGATTTGCCATGATTTAGCTTTTTATTTGATCTAATTATTTTTTTGAAAATGAATTTATTTTGGAGACAAAGCCTTGACTTAAATGTAAGGATGAAGCCTAAAATCTTGTCTAAAAACAAAAATGATACAAAACCGCTAAACTAGCAAGCCCCATCACCACTAGTATATGCAAAGCTTATCACTTCCCAATAGATTTAAACTTAAAAATGAAATACTTCACTATGGTTTTGTCATGGGCTAACCTAAATATGATTATTTCATATCACTAAAATGTAAAGGTTTTGTTTAGTTTAGTTATTATGGACGATTTTTTTAATAAAATGAATAAAAATGTTTGAATTTAAAATAATAACAACTATTAACAATTAGATACTGATTACAAACTATAATCTATAAATTACTTTGTAATAGCTAATTTGATAACTTAAGATTTTTGGATTCAATGTAACATCCAATCCAACATCTATATTTAGAACATTACTTGCCTTGTGTAAATTTAATTATCCTAGAAAACAACGAATAACTTGTAAGTAAGACTAATTTATGGAGGACAAACGATGGTCTAAAAGGGATCATAGGGGATATTTCTCTCTCCTATCATTTTATAGTGCTGCCGAAGCAGATTCCGCAACTGACAAAAATGCTTAGCAGGCAGAGCAATGTGAATGAAGTGGAGACGGGACCCTACACTTTTGCTTGTGGTTTATACTTATTCTTGAAGAGGTTTTGATCGACTAAGGGAGCTGTACAATGTGTGTTGTGGGGTATCTTCCAACTTAAGCTAACATGAACTGCTTTGCTCCTTTAAGGCATTTTCTCGTCTGCATGGATTTCTATTGCAATTGGGTAAGGCTAAATCCATAGGTTATCCATTAGTTGTGGTATTTCTTGTTAGAAGAAAAAAAAGAAAAAAGAAAAAAGAAAAAAGAAAGCTTCATTTTTTCTTTTCTTAAAGGTGAAAGATTTGCGTTATGTCTTGTCATGGACTGGTAATCACTGTTCACTTTCAACAGGTAAGCTTTACTAGTACCTTTAGTTTGTCTGGAAAAGATCCCCCGTGATGAAAGGATAGGCTTACCTACAAAGTCACAACTAAAAGGAAAAAGACCACACGAGGTTACCAACTGAGAAATAGCTTTGCGTATTGATGTTGAATTGCTATTTCGAGCTAGTCATTGTCAATGCTACGAAGAAGAAAAACAAAAGGAGTTTCTGCTAAAAGAACATTATAAAAGAGCAAATCATACAAAAGAGAGCAATATCTTGGGTTTATGATGATGAATGCTTCTTATATAACAAAAATCTTAATCAGAATGCCAAAAATGTTTATGGGACAAACTCGATTACCCAGAAATGTCCCCTCAACTATGTTAAGAGTTAATGCTGATCAAGGATAAATAGAGTAAAGAAGCCTTGTTAAGCTACTAATAGGCCCAGTGTCCTCCTATTGAACAAAACCTCTAGGTGGAATTCATTTCCCTATCTCTACCATTTTGCCAAACACAAGTTTTCCAACTTTTAAAGGGCAGTAATTTGTTCATGAAACGTGCAACTCGTATCAACTTGATTATAACTCATCGTGGCCCTCAGCTTCTGCTTCGCCTTTTTCATCGGCTGCTTCAACTTTTTCATCGGCTGCTGGGGCATCTGACTCAGTGGCTGGTTTGTCACTTTCTGATGTATTGCCGGAAGTTGTGTTGGAATCTTTAACGTTCTCCCCCTCGCTCACGGTTTCAATTTTTACTGGCTTCTCAATTTTAGGTTTTGGCTTTGGAATTCTGTTAATGCTGTCAACCTAAACAAATAGCAAGAATATGTCAGAATAAATACTCACAAAGCACCTCTCATTTACTATCACCCAAATAAGAGCTTTGTAACTCTACCTTAGCTTGCAAATCCCAAAGCTTCATGTATACTTCTTCAGATGTGAATGCTGGCGTGCTGAATGCAGAAGTCCTGAAAAGATTGTTAACATACAAGTAATTATACGGGCCACATCAGAAATTAGTCACAAATTAGAGACCTTGGAAATTTGGAATAGATCAAAAAGATAATACAAGTCCTCAGCTTGGGCCAGGGCTAACTGGTTTTGGCCTCCCTTGCAGTTACTAGGCCAAGATATTAAACTCTACACCAAACACTGGGCCCTGAATTAAGCATATAGCACCATCTACCTAATTCTGCTCTCTGAAATATCCTACCACTCCTCTCCACAATGTTGACCACCAACTAATACTTCTCTGTAGAATCTCAAAGAGTTTATATCCCAATCACTATGAACTGAAGCAGCACATGTCTCCGGCATGAACCGTGAAACACAAGCTTCACCAACACAGATGCTACTATTGCCAAAAACAAATGATTAAGCACTATTGCCACTTTGTTAAAAAGTGAAGCCTCAAATCACTTTCACAGGAAATATCCCCACTGTTGTGGGGAAATTACCAACATTCATCCATATTGCCATGACCCTAAAAATATTGTCTCCAAATTAGTCTTATTGATTTGCAAACAAATTCTACAACCAACAAGTGCCTAGCCAAGTTTGTACCAGCTATATCCTTGCTATAGCATCAAGGTTAGGGTTCAAAACCTGTACAATTTAACATCCCATCTAGCCCAGAAAATGAATTCTAAAAATTTTGTAGAATTCACTATGCCACCAAGCTAGCAACAATTTTATTGGCAACTAAATGCTCAGGACAGAACCTGTGGTAGTCGAGTCTAGGAGCATGACCATGTCCAACACCTACTTTATTATCTTCACAATGAGTAGTAACCTATGCTATTAGGACAATCTGGAAGGAGAATACCTTACCTAGGAATTGACTTGAAACACAGAAAATAAATCATAAATAGCATAGATAACTTACTTTGTCTGCTCAGTCTCCTTCTCTTCCAACCAAGTTTTGAATTTGTCTTGATCACTCAAGAGCTGCAAAGAAGAAAATTAAAATGTTACCAGCATAAGCACCACCGGATGGATTATGCTCAAGATAAACAACAGAAAGGGTAGAGTTAATTTAAATGTGAAG